TGATTAACTAATTTATATTTTACTTAAATTATTCTACAAATTGTAAGATAAAAGACACATTATTTGCTCACCTTAAAGAGAAAGGCTGTTTCTCGTTAACCATAGACATAAGTAACACTACGATGGCAGGTCGCGGAGGATTGGAGGGCGCCATCACGTTTCCCAGGAACTCCTGGTTGGTCACATCCCCCCTCACTGCCTCACCCACCGTGTTGATAGTCTCCGTAAGGATATCCGCAGGCACTCCGCTCGACATCAGAATATTACAGAGAGCATCCAAAAGACCTACATTCTTCATAATCTTTTGACAACTAGAGATGATTTGTGCGGAGTTACTAGGGGAGACCAAAGTCCTGACGATAAGCAGCATACAGTGTACATTGGACACCTTCTGCGGAGACCACCCAGCTTCCTCAGCCTCATCAGGAGTGTTGAACATAGGCAACATCTTCTGTATGTAACTACCTTCCTTGAAGAAGTTTATATTACTGCTGTTATTCTTCAACAGATTCAACATCAGTAGCAAACAGTCTTCTACAATAATTCCACCGTCAGAGTAACCTTCCGTCGACACTATTTCGAACAATCTGTCGAATGCGTTTTCAAACGCTACGATTTTCTGTATATTTGCGTTACCTTTGGTTAGTTTTATAAGGAGGAGTAAGGTTTCATTTCTGATGACTTCTCTGGTGTCTCCTAGAAGGTCCATCATTTTGGAGACACCCATAGGCTTAACGAGAATGATCTCTTGTATGTCTTTGGGTCTGTTTGTGAGAAGTGACGTGAGGAGTTGTACCGCAGAGAGTCGGACTCTGAAGTCGTACTCGTCTAGTAGGTCAAGCACTAATTGTATGTTGTGATGGTCCTTGATGAACATCTCTGTGAACTGCTCCCCAATGTTCATGGGGACGCGAGGGTTGTTCTCCTCCTCCTCGAACTGTGTCGGTGACATCACATTGTTGAGGGTGTCTAAGGCATAGTTTATTGTCTCGTTGTCAGCTCGGTCCAGCTCTAGTACCTAGAAAGAGATCATGTTTTTGATTACTTATGACAAAGAGTGTTTTTAATTTACGTTGAATACCGAAGTCGGAACAATACAATTGCCTACAGTTATTCAAAGAAGGAAAAGTGTATATTCTTATAAATAAGATACCAGATAATAATATAGTATATAATTTGATTCTTTGAATTAAATTGGTAATTCAATATGTGGAACATCAGTCTTACCTGTTTGAGGGTATCCATTCCTTGAGCGCCGACTTCGACGCGGTAGGTGCGCGACATCGCCTTGAGTGCACGACACGCATCGCGCCTGTCTTCCAGCAGCGTCGAGTTGTTCACTCGGTCTACTAAGCGCTCCACCTGAAAAGATCGGAGGCAAAAAATTAATTTAAAAATGTAGGACGCATTTACAAAACTTCTAAAACTATCACTATTTACTACCAAATCAGTATAATTTAGTCGAAAATATTTGTTATGTGTATGACTGTATGTATTATTTATTCAGGTAAATTATTATCTTATAAATTATTAAACAGGTGTATAACATTCATTTTTTTATACTATACATGGCCTTTTTTTAATTTGGCTACTATAAAAATAGCCTGTAAAAATAGTTCCTGTCTGTGACCTTATCACACATGTCGTTTTTCAAGGCCAGAAACTAGTTTCTTGTTTCAACTCAATTGAGGAATAAATATTCACCATTTTCAAATTAACACAAACTTTTTATATAACAAACTGGCAATATTTTAATTCACATTGTCACTAGATTGTAAATGAAATGAAATCTACTTGTCTTGTGTGAGAAGAACATACTCTGTTCTTCTCACACATATAAGATATTAATACAAAGTTATCATAACATTTGTAACCTTATTGCCTTTGTAATCAATAAATAATTTTCTCAAGTCTTGTCAGTATCAGCAATCAGTAATATTAGTTTGCCAAGCTTCGATCAACAATAACAACTAGATATCGGGTCGGCGCAAGAAAATCGTCTCGCCAAATAAGAGCTCACTTTAGAAGTGAGCTCTTATTTTGTTTAGTATGCTCCAAACACGGCCAACGTTCTGACGTCTCACGATGCCGCAGTGCGTGGAAAAATTATAACCGAAAAAGCAGTATAACGGCCGGAGTGTCTTACTTTTGATAAGTACATAAAGTATAAGTTATATTTTAAGCTTTTGAACTAGTAAATAATATCAAATTAGACAAAATTACCAATTATAAACCAACGCCACCAATGTTTGTGCGTGTGTTGGCGATCCCTTGGCCAGCCGCGCCAATACGCGCACAAATATTTGTTTAAACAGAACAGTGGATGCATGGAGTCGATTTGTATTGTAAAATAAAATTGTATTGTAACCTGATTGGAAAAGAGTATCTAACCTATAGAGTTTCTTGCTTGTTCTTCTCCATAGGAATCTACATCTTGGAATGAGCAAATAGCTTCACTTTTAAATTTATATTGTTGACGTTCAAAAGTGCCTTCCTAGTCTAACTGAAATAAATGATTTTGACTTAGACTTTTAATGATAAAGTAAATAAACATGCCATATACAAAAACGTACCGCTAATAAAAATAAGTGATGTATACTAAGATCCCGAAATCTTAATTATCATATTATAAAATTATTTTAGTGTCCAACGCGACTCCATACATACCTCTTGTAGCAAAATTCGAAATTTGAAGAAGCAAAACGAAACAAAACAAAACGATATAGATCGCAAGACAATAATGGAAAAAATATCTTTATTTGTTCAAACTTAAGGTTGAATTCAAACTAGATATTGTATAACTTATGTCTTTTAATTTCTACATGACAGGAGTTTTACTTAATACTTTTCTCGTCTTATGTGACGAATGGTCGTAAGTATTAGATAATATTTTGACGATTTATGACTATATTATTAGGTGCCATGGTTGTTATTAGGTTGAACTTAAAACTATTTTAAAACATTTTTCTCTGTTTGTTATTTTTTTACTATTATTATTCACACGGACAGAACTGGAGCTTGATTTTGTACGTAACCCTTTATCTAGTTGCTATTGTTGATCGAAGTTGCCAAGTGAAAAACACTTACAAAACATTTTTTTTACAAAAACCACCTGTTTAAATACAACATGTGGGTGCTAAGCTCTATAACAAAGTTACGTATCGACAATATTTTAAACCAGGGTTGGCCAACCGAATGGTCGATCCATCCATTAGTCTAGACGATTGCCTTGACAAACGCTTATACATTGGATTCTAATTTACAACTACAAACCTGATTATGCCAAACTAGTAGAAGATACTGCAACGTAATGCATACACTAACTAAGATATATAGATGGGACGTATAAATGATTGATCCATCATCAATTCCAGACTTCCATTCCAACGTATTGCATAAATTTAAGGAGACAATCAGACATATGATACCGAAAGGAACTCCCAAGACTACAAAAAATATTTTATTATTATATATTTCAAGAAGTATGTAAGTTGTAGATCGCATAGGATTTCATTAGTAAAAGTAGGCCTTATGTCTAATCAATTTGGTCCCTGTTTTGAGGTTAACTTTTTTGTTTAGGTATGTTAATAACTAATAAGCCATTATGGTAGATTTGGTACTTTATTTATTACACATCAGTAGGCAGAGAAGTTTTATTAACAATGTGTTAATGAAACTTCTACTTTTGTTTAGTTTTGAAGTCCATAGAGGCTTCATTTCAGACTGCATGCAACAGATAATAATTTATTATTTGTATTAACTCGTCGAGTACCGGTTTTGTAGACACAATTATAGAACAATAGGTTGCGGTCACCGGTGACCGCTTGGTGTTTGACAGTTTAATATGTTGATATATCATACCCAAAAGTTTGTTCATACAAAGTAGTCTCTAAACATCAGAAATAAAATCTATAATGGGTTTAGTGGTGAGCGATCACCGGTAACGGTGACCAATTGGGGATTAAGCAGTTAATATTCAAATAAGTTTACTAATAAAATTTTTAAAATTGCTGTTATTAATATTCTAATTTCTATTGACAAATAAATGAATATTCTAATTTATTTAAATTAGAATTACTACCTTTTAATTTAATTTTGTAGGTGAAAATATCGTTATCAAAGAGAATAACAATTTTTAAAACAGTAAATCTATTATGTCATGCCCTGTGAGTACATTATATTGATATTGTAATAAAATTTCCATTGTGATAAGAGAAATTATGTTTTCTTTTAACTGCTATTCATGTGTTTTCAACATTTACATCATAGATGTAAAATTAGCTGGAATTTTTAAAGATTTTTTGAACAGTGTATAAAATGAATGAGAGTAAAGGAAATGATGTCAGTAATGGCCCTGAAGCTGAAAATAATAGGGACAGTTCTAGGGCAGGTTAGTAAAAACACTAATCAGTAATAAAAAATGATTAAATTGTCTTATAAGAATACAGTAGTTATATATCATCATTTATTGGACCATCAGTGCTGTCACATTCATGAAATGCTGAACCAATTTACAGACATCTGGACCCGCCTACGCTGAACTATAGATAAGAAATAGCTACTCTATATCGCACACTATAAATAGGTCAGCTTATGTTTTAATTCTAGAAAGTAAATATTGGAATACTCACAATCTCTGCTCCAGAAGGTTGGTGGCCAGGTTCCGGCGCCCCCAGCACGGTCTTCAGACCGCTTTTTAGAAAATCCATTTTGCACAAACTCCTTATTTATAATTAGGACACAATTAAAACTTATTAATACGAAATCATTGCACAAAATACTTAAACTCACAAAAATTAAATCAACCCTACGAGACACGTCAAAGCATTTTTGACATACTCAAATTACGTTTTGTTTCATCATTGTTTTATTTAAGAAAGTCATGAAAAAGTATTAGTTTTAAAATCCTCAAAGAAAAAATTCAGAACTTGACCTGTTTTGTTCAAATACTACTTAAAGTAATATTAAACGCCTTTTAGAAAGCTTTTTAGGAAGAAGTTGTAAAATTTCTTCTGTGTTGTAACAAAACGTACGAATTATGGTTTGACAGCTGCCAAAATTTTCGTTGTTGTTGATGATGTAAATTCTTTGTGATTTGTTATCTTGTCCCGTTGTAATAAAGCTGTGTTTACCTTGTTAAAATGTATGACGATGTTTTTGACATTCGTGATATCTTTCTTACTTGACACTGACATTCATTACAAAATTAGATTAACTGGATTGTTTATTTATTTCGATGTGCAAGTGGACCAATTTTCTTTGATTTTCTACTTATTGAAAATAAAGGAAATTCTACGAAAGCCTATTAATTTCGTTGTAGCAAAAATGTCTACGGACCTTGGTGCCAGTTTTAACGAGCAATATATGAATATCAACACCAAAATGAAAAAGTAAGTTTCTACATCATGCAGTCTGATTATGTATTCATCTAGCACGATTACTGAGTGTAATATGTAATTTGCAGACGGTTTATGCGGAAGCCCAATGTATCGGAGGCAACGAATGAGTTTATAGCTCTGGCGATCCAATGCGAGCATTCTGACCAGCCAGCATTCGCAGGGCACGCCTATGTCGGCGCTGCCAAGTGTGAAGCTTCTGTAGGTCACTTCTTAGGTGAAGCGGAACATTTCTTAGCGGCAGCTCGACAGTTCATGAAGGCTGAAAAGAAACTCAAGTCTCTGAAATTTTATAGTGCTGACAGAGAAAATTTGGAGGTAATCAAATATTTTAAATTAGTTATCAATTTTCCTTACAGAAGAAATATTCTATTGACCGTAAACTTGTTGGTCCCAGCATACATGTCTATATACCTTAACTTTGCACCATTAATATCATCTATTCCAGGCAGCTACAGGGTGTTATATTCAGGCACTGAATAAATATCCCGACAAGTCTCCAATAAGAACATCCATATTGATGGAGCTGGCCAGCGACTTGGTGGAACTGAACCATAAGTTGGAAGCAGCTGCATACTATGAACAGGCTCTTGAAACTGTCACAGAAACCATTATGAAGACTATTTGTTTGAAAAACCTGCTCAGTTTGAGGATAGACAGTGGTATTCATTTCATCATTTAATTTGAATGCAACATAATGTTATTGTTACATGTACAAATTAAATCAGTAATTTATTATGGTTACAGGTAAATATGACATTGCTTTAGAGATAGCTAACAAGATAGTTGATGGTCCTAATGCAAATGTACCTGAAGATGTTCTTGCAGAGTAAGTTAATATTTTTAAGCACACTGTAAAAAAGGATTCACAGCCTAGGTTATCTAGCTGGTTACTACTTGCTTGTGTTCCTATACCAAGTCCTTAATAAATGTGATAATTAGTATTATGTGTAGTCTGTTTATATTTTTTACTCTTTTTTTCTAGAGTCCAAGTGAGCAGGATACTGCTGACCCTTCTAGTGAAGCCACCAGAAGACAGCAAGCCGCCATCTTTGAAACAACTTTTCATAGATTTAATGAATGACAATGAAAGTGATGGTTAGTACTGATTGATTTTATTTATTTGATGTCACATTAAAATACACACATAAATATAATAGAGTAACTTCAAATACATTTTGTTGCACAACATTTACCAAAATGTAATAGAATTAATATATTATGGATACTAAATACATTGAAGAACATTAATGGACTGTAAATGACTACTGATATTTAAAGACAACATTGATTAACACAAAAATTGTAATTGATAAAATATTTGTTCCAGCAATTCCTCTAAACACAGATTTGAAGTTAAAACTCCAGTCAATAATAATCTGCCATGCTACAGGAGATACTCAGCCACTAATTAGTGTATCAGCAGACACGAAGCAGTTCCTGACCCTGCAGCAAGTTGAATTATTGCACAAATTGATATCAGATGAAAGAGGTTGAACAAATCTGACACCAAAATCATTATGGAGTATATAAATACTTCCTTTAACTACATTCTAGTTTATTGTTTACCTTCGTAAGAAAAATAAATATTTTATAATGTAAATTGTTAAGTTAGTAAACTTTGTTGTGGTATTAAAATAAAATATAACTGTTTCATGAACACTCAATTCTATTATTTATTTCATAAATACATTGTCATATACAATCCCCAGTATACAACAGTATAAATGTCGTCATTGTGTTACATATTTGTCCTTTTTTTTAGTTTTTCATACTTTGATAAAAACCATTTTATACTCTTTGCCTTTATAAACACATTATTTTAAAATATTTAAGAATTTTTGTCTGTATCACTTATGTCATCTGACTTAGGTATAATAACTTTTATTTCTTTAGGAAAGTTAACACTACGATCTACTAATACATCTTTCTCTTTGGAGGTACTTTCTTGTACTTTGACCTCATTTCCAAAATCAGCAGCTGTGTCAATGGCAGTCTTGTTCTGTTTGGAGTGAGTCCACATCTCCTCAAACACATCCACCACATCCTCATCTTCATCAGCACTCTTGTCACTTTTAGCTGCCTTCACCTCATTAGACTTGTTCCAGCAATAGTCAAATGGATAGCTGATGTTTCTGTTGTCATCAAGTGCAATCTCAAAGCGTGAAGACAGAGAGTTGTACACAGTGTGAACACCAGCAGCTAAGTTTAAATTAATTTCATTAAACCCAGTGATTGACTTGAACAAATCTTCACCAGACTTCATCTCAGTGACTCCTTTCTTGGCAAAGAACTGAAAAGTATAATTAAAATGAATTAACTATGTTTGTGACACATTGTATGACATTAAATTATTGCACAACATTTATTCATACTAAAACAACAACAATATTATTGTTTACAACATTTTCCTTAATTTATAGTAAGGTTATGTAATACTTACATTGGCAATATTCTGGCAATCTCTCAGCAGGAATTTTAGACCATAAGGGTGATCAGGCTGCACAGACTGGGACACATCTATGAACCAGCACTTGTTGTCCCACCACAGGATGTTGTACTCAGAGAGGTCAGCATGAATCATGTGTCCCGTGTTGTACAGCTTGTGCACCGCCTCCACCACCTCAATGTACACACTCTGCCAGTCCTCAGGCTCCAAAATCACATCCCTTAGTCTAGGAGCAGGCTTGTTACCTTTACCAATGAAAGACATCACTAAAATATGTTTTTTCAAGCAAACCATATCAGGACAGTTCAAACCAATTTTCTTCATTCGATTTAAGTTATGCATCTCCTTCTCAGCCCACATGTGGACTATCTTGCGTGGGTTCTGCTTTGTGAACCTGTCCTTGAAGCGATAATCAGCTTCAATATACTTATCACGAGTTTTGAACTCATTCAGGGTAGTTTTAAATATTTTGATTGCACATTCTTTAGGAACAGTTATGTCAGGGTTTTTAGTGTTACCGGTGGCATGTAAAACCACAGATTCCTTGCCAGTTGAGATTATTCCATTGATATCCTCCAGCACTTCATTATTAATCAGCTTAAATAGAAGAAGTCTTGTGGGTTCATCAAGACCCATTTCTGCAGTCGCATGACTCTCTTTACGGTCCAACATCTTATTTTTACGTGTTTGATGTTTTGTTTGTTCCCTCAATTGATTGAATACAGAGTTGGAGAGTTTCATGTCAAACCCAGCACCATCTCCTGTGCACACCTCTGGAGGGAATGCCATAACACGGCAAGCATTCCTCCTGCCATTAATCACACTGTCATGTTTAGTAACCATCTCTCCATCTTTCATAACATACCCTCGTTTTGGTAAACTTGCAAATTCTTTCTCGTTTGTCTCAAATCGATCCCAGTCTTTCTTTGTATCTACATCATCTTCATCTGAATCAGAATCATATAATAAATGCTTCGGCACATGATAGAAATTATCATAAGATACTGAGACTTTCGAGTCCCCGTTACGTTTTTTCTCAACCACTTTGAGTTCATTGTCATATTCTCTATCAAATTGGCATTGCAAAACCTTTGCAATAATGGCATCCGAGTCACAATAATCCTTTACATTCGAGGCCTCGATATCATGCAGCAATTCCGGTGGTATTTCGGTAGACGTACTCACGTGCTGGTCTGATAGTTGCTCAACAAACCTTATTTCCTCCTTGACCTGAAGTCCCTTCGCCAATTCTTCGGACATGATGTCCGATAAGTCTTGTACTTCTGCAGGTGCAGCAATTTTCTTCCAAGGGTTCGACATTATGTTTTAAATAATTATAACTATATCACAGACTTTACAGTAATGTTTATAACTTATATCCCTGTTTAAAGCAGGTAAATGAAATATTACACAATATGGTAAAATATTCACGGACACGGACGTTCACAAACCTTTCTTGGTTGGTTTGACAATTTTGACATTCAATGCGGACCTTGTTTTTATTTTAGAATTGCGTTTTCAGTGTAGCCATCTTCAGAATGATTAAAAATTGTTTAATTTTATCCAAATCCTTATAAAATAAGAACTTTCGTCTAATATCGAACCCGACTAAAATAAATTATTTAAAGTCTGCAAATACCTTCAGATACTATCTAATAAGAATTTAATAGAATTGCAGAAGAGGGTACAGTGGCCAGGTTGATTACCTACGTCAAATTTATTCATTGGATTTTCGACTTTAAACTAGTGCAATAAAGTTAGTAATGTAACAGAGACATTTGATAGAAAAGGATAGGTTGACCTGCTAGCTACCATCCATACATTATTTCTTTTACAATCATACATGTAGATAATATTTTAAAAAGTTCACAAAATGTTATCCAATAATTTTTTAGCGGTTCTTTTTGCTTCAATAATTGATTGTTTTTTTTCTACACGCGTTTTTCATAAGTCTTTGCCTGTCTTTGCCTTCAAGTTAGTGGCTGTCTTCTAAGCTCAATAATTTTCTTGCATGTATATTATACTTACCGTTCAATACAACTCTAGGTACTTACAAGCTTCTAACAATTTCAGGAAAGTCTTCGCATGGTTAATATACTGATACCCTAACTCCATCCATGCATGAAGCAGAATGAGGGCGTCCTGCTCAAAACCTACTTTGCGAAAGCGTTTAAGTAGGTACCTATTGGTAACACTCTTGTTCCACCCCGAATAGAAGGAATGACAGAGTTGAAGTAATGTAATGAGTTCCATGGAATAAAGATAAGCCTATTGCTATCTACACGAGCTGGGCCGTCTTAGACTACGCTGGGGCTTTTGGGCACACAATAATTCAGGCCACTTGTGGAATGTTTCTTTTCTTTACTGTTGCACCACACTAGGATTTCTTTCTGAATTGTGAGTGCATTCACAAACATACAAGTTAACATACTTACACATGACACCCAGACCCGAAACAACAATTTGCGAACCCGCTACACGTTGCGGAGTAGCCGGTTGCCTTACAACGTGCAGCGCTTATGTCGGTCGTAGAAATTATAGGCCCTTCGGATGGGGGTACTGGGCACGGGGCCCGAGTGCATTTATGGAAAAGACGGTACTGTACACGAGCTCTGCCTATATCTGACTTTATGTAGTAACATCAGTAGAATATTACTGCTTTTTGGGCCACCGAAATAATTAGTCCAAAATGCTCAAGCAAATGACCACACCTGTATAAAGGCTACCAGAATAACAATGTATTTGTGAGTTTACAAAGATATGCAGGAATCGAACCCGCGGCCCGCGACATGTTGCCCAGAAACAAGTTGCCGAATAATGCTCGCAGTTGCCAGATGTGGATGCACTTTTTTAAGGGGAATAAATTATCCAATGTCTTCTCCCACCTAAAGTGAGCCCCGGTAAAACGATATCTCGTCCGCAGCTCCGGGGCTGGCAAGTGCATGCAACTTACATATACACACTCATGTCTGCCTGTAGGGATGTGTGCTTTGCCTACACTTATTATACTATATAGTGTGCACAGAGTACTGCCTAGTACAATCTTCGAATGCTTTTAACTTCTGGTTACTATATATTTATTTATACACTAGCAGCCCGTCCTGGCTTCGCACGGGGTAGACAATAATTTATTTTTGGAAATTTGGATTGTTGTAGTGACATAACTACAATAGTTGGACATATGCTACCGCGGAGTTTTTTGTAGACATTACGATGTTCTTCAATATTGTTGTAAGTACATAGGTAAATTATTTTGTTCTATCGTTATAATAGTTTCGGCAGCGCATTCGACGAAAGACATTTTAAGAGTCTTTTTTTCTACACCTTCGGTTACATTGTTCAAATTTTACAAAGGATCCCTAATTTTTTTCCAAATGAAATGTAGCCTATGTCAAATTGGAAGAATGTAGCATTCTATTGGTGAAAGAATTTTTTAAATTGGCCCAGTACTTTTTGAGCCTATTCATTACACACATACAAAAATAGGTACAAATCTTTCCTCTTTATAATATTAGTATAGATATAGATTTGGAATACCAGCAGCTATACAATTTGATTAATTATATGCTAACTACCTAATAACTTTTTGAAGTGGGAATTTAAATAAAGTTTGATGTACCATATTACTAGGTGTTGTTTAGCTACTAAATCTTGGATAACTATAGTGCAAAACTAATCAGATGAAGCTTTCAGAGCTGGAGAAAAAGTGATTGTTAATTATAATTAGTAACTTGGAATGTCTCTGCCTATCCCAATAGAAGAAAGGCGTAAAGTGTATATAAGCAAGCTTATTCCATATTTGATTATTTTACCAAAATAGAGAACCATTTTATAAAATAAGTTGGTCATGAATAAAGCCAGAATCAGTGAAAACTGTTTTAAAGAGTATAACCATAGACTAAGATAAATATAAATTAAAATAAAACAAGAAATTTGATTTTTCCTTTATATTTTTAGCCTAACATTTACTTCGCTGCTTTCTTGCCACTCTTTACAGTCGCCTGTTGCGCTTTGAGGACCTTGACGATCTTCTGTTCCTCAATGAGGAAAGCTCTGACGATGCGCTGCTTGACACACTTGTGGCAAAGAACACCTCCGTAAA